CGAACGAGAAGCGGTCAACCCAACGCAGTGATGATGCGACCATCATTAAAAGAGGATTTTCCGTCTCAAACTGCGATGGGAATGACTTTGCGTCAGAAGCGCATATAGAATCTGCTGTTAATGATGTCAAATCAATGAAGCCGTGACAAAACCCTGTCGGGTGCAGGGTAGGAAGCCAGATGATTGAGTGCCCGTTATCTACTAACGTATTATCATTAGTGCAGCGTACACCGTGAGACAGCTCAACAAACTCCTTGCACGCAACCGCCTCTCTGGTCTCACGCGACTTCCTTCCAAGCCGGTGTCTGGGTGTTATTCATCCTTTTGCATTTGTTTTCCTCTTGTATTCCAGCGCTTTGTTAGGTACTTGGCCAACCCCAGCTTGTCCCGGAGAATCTCATCCGGTCTTCACGTGCGGATTAACGGCGCTGACTGCAGGCGCAGCAGCAACAACACCATGCTTCACAGGCCCGCGGGCAATGCCTGGGCGGCGCGACTGTTGGTCAACCGCGCGGTGCGAGTGCCGCCACTGACGTGGGCGCGCTACTCTTCAACTGGAGCGCCCAAGCCTTCGCCGACGAGTACAGTGAACCCCATCCTGTCCAGCGCAGAGGTGGCCAAGGGTTCCAAGTGGGAGCGCACCAAGAGGCGGTTGTGGGAGGAGGTGCCCAAGACACGTCAGGAGTGGAGGCGGCTCGTTCTGTTGGCCGTGGCCGTCCAGATAGTATGGACCGTGTACGACAACGTGCGCGATTCCGGCCCGTCTCCCGTGCCTCCCATCAAGGCCGCCGCGTCGGAGGAGCTGGTCCCCGTCGAGTCGCCCGTTCAGGTCCTCGATCTCGAGGCTGCGAATGCGAAACTCCGAACGGAGGCCCGCAGCTTCATCTTTGAGGGCCAGGACAAGGTGCAGGGCCGGGTGGACGTGGTTCGTGTCGCGAGCAACCACCCGGTCGAGGACGAGTGGGATCTCGCCGTGGCCAAGGGCGTTGGCGGATCGAAGACGCTGTATTCGGGGGTTTATGATGGGCATGCGTAAGCGAGCTGAGTGAGGAGACGTTGAACGGAATATATGCTGATTTGGTTATCTACAGTGGGTGGGCTACGTCCAAGGTGTTGAAGCAGGCTCTGGTGTCGTATGTCTCAGCGGCTTTGTCGCGGGTCGCGTCGTCTACTTCTGGAAACCTGGTAGATGATGCCATCAAGAATGCATTCGTGCGTCTCGACGACCGCATCACCGCCGATGCGATCGACGCAGTCAAGGCCGGCTACGACCCGGGCGCCGCCGAGGTCATCTCTGCCATTGCTCCAGCTATTGCCGGTTCTTGCGCCCTTCTCTCCATCTACGACCCCCAGACGTCGACCCTCCGCACCGCCGTCACGGGAGACTCCCGCGCCGTCCGCGGGGCCTGGTCTGACAAGTCTCAGCAGTTTGAGGCCGACCAGCTGAGCGTCGACCAGACGGGCTTCAACAAGGGCGAGGTCGATCGCATCGACCGCGAGCACCCCGGCGAGAAGGACGACATCCTGAGCCCCACCTCCGGCCGGCTGCTTGGCCTGGCCGTGACGCGGGCCTTTGGCGACCACCGCTGGAAGTGGACCAAGGAACTCATCACGACGGCCAAGGACGACTTTTACGGCACGAGCCCGCGGCCCAGCTACAAGACGCCTCCCTACATGTCGGCCGAGCCCGAGGTGACGACGCGCCAGGTCCGCACCGACGACTTCGTCATCCTCGCGTCCGACGGCCTCTGGGACACCATCAGCAACGACGACGCCGTCGCCTGCGTGTCGCGCTGGCTGGCAGCCAAGCGCGCCGGTCGGCCCGAGCCCGTCCGCGAGACCAAGCACAGCGGCCGGCTCGGCGACGGCTGGACGGCCACGCCCGAGCACTTTGCCATCGAGGACCTCGACAGCGCCGCCGTGTGCCTGGTCAAGAACGCCCTGGGCGGCTCGCGGCGGCGCCTGTTCCTCGGCGCCGTCACCACGTACGCGCCCATGAGCCGCAACGTGAGGGACGACATGACCGTGCAGGTCATCTTCTTCAGGGACCCGTACCAGACGAACGGGTGGAGGAGAGCGTTTGGCGTTAGCGAGCACCGGTAGGCGGATTGACGTCGGTTTCCGTGCATCTTCCCCAGGAGTTGCATGGCCTAGGATGGTTCATTGGTAGAGGTTAATATGGTGGCGCTGGTTATGTGTATTTGGATGTTTTATCTTGGTCGCTACTTCTTTCCAGGTCGGAAGTAAGCACCAGCCAATACCACAGCCCTGACACGCTCTAAATCATGACACTAGAATAGCATGAACTTTACCCAGCATCCAAGCAAGAGTGGCTGCTCCGATTGTGTAGGTACTGAAATTTTGTTTACCTGTGCCGCGAACGGCCTGCATATAACGAGCAGTCCAGTTCTGCTGTGATGGCGATTGTGATATCTTGCCGTTGAAGTAAAGCTCAGCACATCTAGTGACCTAGGGAAGTCCGCCTTCTAAGCCAGCATGTGGAGTTTTTAAACACAGACATACCTTACTTCATATTGCAAATGTTAACTACGAGGAGGAGGGATGGTGAGTAGCCACCTTTGAATATTAAACCAGGGTACATGTAATGTGAGGGATACCGGATTCGAACCGAGAACCTTTAGGAATCTCTTGACTTGGAAGGCGCTGGAATGTAGAAGTGGAGGATGAACTTGAGATCATCCTCCCGAGAGGTGAACCGAGCTATGCTTGAGAGAAAGAAGTACGTGCCACTCAGCTTCGGGGCGGCGCATCTTCTTCTAGGTCACCACCCACAGTTGAAATCCGGAGCTTGTACACCGCATCGTCCGGTCCGTCGACGGGGTCACCGCGCCGCATGCAGATGCACTCCTGTCGAATATGCGCGGATGCTAATTGCCCACGACATCCATTATTAAGACGCCCCGCCTGCGATCACTGCAAAAATACAACTTGGCCGGGCTTGCAGTCTTTTCCGCCCTTCGAATGGAAGTCAGCGCTTTTTCGCCGAACCTGTTAGCTGGCTGAGTTACTGGTGGGCGGCTTACTCCGGCCCCCCGTAGGAGCGGACGCGACCACAGAGTTGAGTGGATAAAGGCTGGGGACGATCCGAATCCGCCCAACATCATCACTTTTGCAGGATCCTGGCATACTGTGTGTTGAAAGCAAAAAGGGATAGCTCTCAGAAGACTACTGAGACCTATACTTCAACACTGCGTATTTGTCATCGAGGAACTGGTAGACGTACGACACGGGCAACTGCATTCGGCTCCTATGTCAACAAGACTGGCTGTGCGACCACAGGTGGGACGAGATCCCAAAGGTGAAGATATGTTCGACGATAGGAAAAGGAGGTCACGTCGTGAAACGATGGAATGGTATCATAAAGTGCAATCTCTATCTGCCCGGGTAGGGTGGTTGTAGAGCAAGGGGTGACAACGCGTCGAACTGGGTGATGCTTGCTCTGTTGATGGCTTCACAAGGCTCTCGACTTAGAGTGACTTGTGGTGGTTTTATAGCAGTAGTCGTGGACTTTTTGCAATTTGTTTTATTGTTTGATGGCAGTTTCTGCAACGTAACTGATTGATGTTTGCCATTGATGTTTGCGAATGATGTTCATGAATGATGATCGTGAGAAGACAGGTAAGGTGTGGAGTCGCTGCTGGGCTTTGAGCACGTCCCTCTCGACTTTGCTTTGCCATTCATTGTCGGGACAAGTCGAAGGGGGTCGTTGAGTCCAATTAAGCGAGACTCTGGCAGGGTCCACATGCGTGAGTTAGATGCGAAGGATTTGTTGTTTTGTGTGGAGGTCAGTTGTTGTTGTGGCCTTGTCCTGATCAACCATATGCTGCAGGGAGCATGGTAAGGGGGGGGTGGTGGGTGATCAAGGATACAATCATCTAGCAAGAATCAGATCAACGGTGCCCGAGACGATGAATTGAGCCGTGCCTTGATGGGTTATGCTAACCAGGTGTTCAATACTCACAGCCCGGGTTGATTAGTCCGTTTCCACCGCTTTCGGGCCAAAAGTCTCCATACATCCCACATTTGCTAGTCTGGACGAGGATGCATTGAGATCAGTTTTAGGCATATTAAGAGGATACTAAATTATGGACTTTTTATAGCTCTAGTGCTATAATATATCCTTATTTTAGCCCTATTTCATACCTAAAGTTATGATCCCATCTTGATATTAAAATGCCAAGTCTTGGTATGAGTGTACGGAAACTTTTGGGCCAAGACTGTACATGAGCGGCCTCCGACAGGCTGGCTGTGAGTTATCACGGACGGACCGATGGAAAAGTGAGCGAAAAGGGAGAATAGCAAGTGATCGGTTTACTTACTAGTAGACCTGCCAGGCTTTAGTGTGCAAGGATTCCGGTTAGTACGTATGTAGTCCCTGTGATGATGATCTCTTCAGGCTTTCCGTGGGGTCCTACCTCGGCGTGATGATGGCGGCTGAATTGTCCCTTGCCAAGTCAGTTGCTATCAGAGTACTTAGTAACGTACCGTCTATGTGGTTCAAAATCACATCGCATCCGAAGCAGGGCGAAGAATGACGGAGGTGGCTGGTACTCCACAGTCACACGGAAATGGGGATCGTAGTGTGATTTGAACACGTCCCTAGGGGGATACCAGACGCCTTCACGCCATACGATCTTAGGACCGAAGTCGAGGGGCGCGGGGCCTTGATGGAATAAGGGTATTGACCCACGAAGAAACCAGGCCGTTGGAAGGCGTTAGGTCTGAGGGGGTGTGTTGGTGGGATTCGAGTGTTGAACACGAGTCTAGCCAGCGTTCTAGTTTACCTGGGACTTGACCTTGACTGCCTCTTCTCCTCACCGATCTAACCTGGAGCCAGTAGCTAACACAGCTGATTCTTTCTACAACGGCGGCTTGCTAGCCCCTTAGCCCATAAACTGGTGGAAGAGGCACAAGAATAATAATCTAAATGTGAAGGAAGGAAAGAGAAAAAAGGGCAAAAAGGCAAAAAGGAAAGATGGTGAGGGACACCGGATTTGAACCGGTAACCTTCAGGAATTTCGAATCGGTTGTAAAGCCGCTGGAATCTGACGCGCTACCGTTGCGCCAGCCCCCCAATTGATGTCTGAGATCGAACAAATTACCATTTATATATGGCAAATCCACACCTGTCCAGTTGAAGGATGGCGTGGTTGTGGACCCCGTGCAGCGAATTCGACCCCACCCCCTTGTCCTGGATCAGAGAGGTTTGCAAGCAGGAAGTGGTTGTACCTCCCACAGCTGGAGCATGAAGAGTAATTTGATATGCGATGTTAGGTCCCTGTATGTTGTAGCGTACTGCGGATGGTGGTTGACGATTGCGTTAGACAGACTGCCATCTATAAGTGGTAATCTGATCGATCTCAGACATCATTTGGGGGGCTGGCGCAACGGTAGCGCGTCAGATTCCAGCGGCTTTACAACCGATTCGAAATTCCTGAAGGTTACCGGTTCAAATCCGGTGTCCCTCACCATCTTTCCTTTTTGCCTTTTTGCCCTTTTATTCATATCCTGACTGGGGTGGAGTTTGGTGGAGTTTGGTGGAGAGGGGCGGGGCGGTGATTTTAGCAGATGTCCGCCTAGCTAGCGTGAGGTGCTCGTCCTGCATGTAGCCCTTCTAATTCTTTTTTTTCTTCAGAGGGCTGCACCTACTGTAATTCATGAAGAAGTGAAATTGTAGTCACTGTAGCCTGCTATTAGACCCGGCTACAGCTACCACAGCCCGCCATATTGAAGCCGCCTATGCTCCAGTCCGCATTCCGCCCTTTGCTAGGACGGAATTGTTTTGACACCGCTGGACTGGAAGACCAAATCCCTTCTCGTTTAGAACCAGCTCACTATAGCCATGGCCCAAGCATCATTTGGTGGCAGAAGGCCAAGGGTAGTGGCACTGGGAATTCCCAAATTTGTTGGCGATGACTACTTGGCTGAGTTCAAGAAGGACTTTGACTATCAGGTCCGTATACAAGCCAATTCATCTCAAGCCAAAGATTCGCAGCTGACAATGGTAAACAGGTTCTTGATGTGAAGAACCACCAAGAAACGCTGGAACAATTGCCGGCAATAATAGAAAAACACGGCCCTGTCGATGCCTTCATTATCCGCATGGGCAGAGGCCCGTATCATCCCTTCAACGAGGCCATGTTTAAACCCCTCACCCCGCACTGTCGCATCATCGCGTCGGCAGCCGCTGGCTACGACGACTTTGATATTGAGTGGTTGACGCGGAACAACATCTGGTTCTGCAACAGCCTCGACGCGGTCGCGGAGGCCACGGCCGACATGTCCCTCTTCCTGACCCTGGCCGTCGTGCGAGACACGTCTCGAGCAGAGCGCTGTGCGCGCGAGGGTCTGTGGAAAGACCCCGTTGTTCCCAGTCAGGATCCGTCAGGTATGACGCTGGGCATCGTTGGGATGGGCGCCATAGGCAAGCATTTGGCGAAGAGGGCGGGCGCCTTCAACATGCGCATCAAGTACTACAATCGCCGGCAGTTGAGTGCTGACGACGAGGCCAAGTACAATGCGACATACTGCCCTTCCCTGCACGAGCTGCTCGGCCAGTCCGACGTCGTGTCCATAAACTGCCCGCTGAACGCCGAGACGAAGAACCTCATGTCGACCGGGGAATTTGCGGCAATGAAGGATGGGTCGTTCCTCGTCAACACGTCTCGCGGTGCCGTCGTCGACGAGCCTGCTCTCATCGCCGCGCTTGAGAGCGGCAAGGTTGCGAGGGCTGGGCTAGATGTGTTTTGGAACGAGCCGGACATTGACAGCTACTTCAAAACTAGCGACAAGGTCACAATCCAGCCTCATGTGGGAGGGCTTACTGATTTGGCATTCCAGAAGGGTGAAAGGGAATGCTTCGAGAACATTAAGGCGTTGTTCAAGACCGGACGTCCGGTTGCACCTATAAACGAGATATCTTAAGCATTAACGCAGAGTATGCACAGGAAATGTAGCCTTATCATTGTTCACTTATATATTCGCTTGATGGTTTGGCTGTGGCACAGCTCATGACATGTAAGATATACAACTATTATTATTCCTTGTGTTCCCCGACTCTCCGTGTCTATTCAACTATCACGTTTTCGATAGCGCCCACAATGAGATCAGCAGTGTTGCGGTTGGTATTGTCCGGGTTCACCATGAAAACAGTTCCGTCATGCGATTCACTCCCAGCCAGCGCAAATGATGTGATATCGTACCCTCTGCTGCACACGACAAGACGGAGCCCTCGGAAACAGCAGGGTCGCATACGATGTGTACGAGGTACGGGCTGAAATTCTCTATGCTGGCGGTGGACGCGGTGTAGACTATCGTGTCAAGTGTGAACCAGGCGATGTACAAGCCGTGGGACATGAGGTAATTTGTGCCAGCCTCCAAGTAGAACGTTGTAGAATAGGCAGCCAGAGAGTACGGGTTGATGCGTAACGGAAACTGGGTGTCTGCAGGTGCCAACAACCCGCCGATGAGCGCGGTGCTTTCCGTGTTACTGACCACAAGGTTGAATTTGGAGAGGGGAGGATCTAGTGTAGGGGTATCGGGCGTGGGCGTTGGAGTCTGTGAAATCGGTGTTGAAACCGGTGTCTCTGAGATCGGAGCGGGTGTTGATACTGGTGTCTCTGAGATTGAAGTGAGTGTTGGCGTCTGCGAGATGGGCGTTGATATCGGCGTGTCTGAGACCGACACCTGGCTGCTGCTGTGTGAGGGCTGGTGGCAAGGGCCAGCGTAGACGAATGAGGGCGCAGCCAGAAGGCTGAAACCTATGGAGAGGACTCGCATCGTGTGTGAGTACTACCCGGTAATGTTTTTGTAGGTCGGGAATAGAGACGCAAGAGTGAGACCTGAGAACTAGAGAGTGGTCCAATGAATGAGTTGCTGGCCTACGTGGTAATGAACGAATGGCTAACGTAGGTCGGAGAATTGAAGAGACTAGAAGGACGAAGCGTGGTGTTGTTTTTACGCATCCTGCCCGGTCTGCCCTGAACATTCTCCTAACGCGCAATCCTTGAATGAATTTGTACCTGAATTTGGCAGAGTATCAACTCGCGATGACTTGGCAGTCGATAGTCATCAATAGTTTGCGGGGCTGACAGAGGGGACTTTGATTGATCCCTCCATCAACACGCATCTCGTTTACAGGTTCTCAACTTCTCGTCGATGGGCATGTATTCAAGACAGCTTTGAACTATGTGAGCTGGATGCAAAGGTATTGCATACGGAATCGGTAGTCGGGGCTGTCTGATTGTTCGCTACAAACCAATAGACTCGAAAGTATCAAGCTGGGACATCAGCCTGGTGAGTCTTGTCGGGTTTTTGCTTGGCAAGAGGCGCTAGACCTCGACTAATGCCATTGTGGCGTGTCTTTGGTGAAGCTGAATCGATTGAGACATGGCCATCATGGACGAATCAGGTATGTACAGGACCTGAGTGCCTCGGATAGATCTTGTTCGAATGTCCGAGGTTTATTCCCGACTTGTGATTGCGGAGAAATAGATCTGATGAGAGGCGGCCGGGTCATGGCATTGTGGAACCGGAACCGGCAACCCCACCATTGCCGTAGGGGCCGTCACAAACCGACCCGAGTCGGGAATGACATGCTTGGCGCCGATAATGTCGACGAATAGAATGACAAGAATACTATCTTTAGACACGATGCAGATGTAGCGATCGGGGCTTTATCTGGTGACTCGATTGCGGATCACAAGTGCAGATCTAACTCGTCGATAAAGGTTGACGGCGACGCCTCATTCGAAGAGTCATCGGCAGATATCGTATCTGCTTATCTTGTTTTAGATAACGGCGACTTAGATCTGCACCTCTAGCACCTCATATCAGCTCCTCCCGAGGTCTTTAAAGCAGGGCGGTCCCCGATCAAAGTCATTTCAACTGTATCATTTCGTTTCTCATCCCAACCCTCATAATGGCCCCAAGTGCAACTAGTTATCCCTTATCCGAGGTCTCGTGGGTCGACGGCGATGACCTACGGACCTCCTTCACACTGGCCATGTCGGCCATGTACAAGACCGAGGTTCCTCTCTACGGTGACTTGGTCCGTATCGTCGGAGACGTAAACCAGTCGACGCTCAGCAGCGCTCTTGACCCCAAAGTCATAGCCATGCGCTATGGAGACGTTGCGTCTTCTCGCCTGGATGTTGAGAGGCACGGGGCTATCAGATTGGGGACGCCTCATGAGCTTCGCACCGTCCGTCGGATATTCGCCCTCATCGGACTGTACCCTGTCGGATACTACGATCTCTCTCCTGCCGGTCTGCCCATGCACGCCACCTGTTTCAGACCAAAGACGGAAGCGTCGCTGCACAAGAATCCGTTTCGGGTCTTCACCTCAGTTCTTCGACCGGAACTCATCAAAGACCCCCGAGCCCGGGATTTAGCATTGGAGCTGCTATCGAATCGCAACATCTTCAGCGAAGAGCTCATGCAACTCCTCAGCCTCGGCGATGCTCAAGGTGGGAGATTGACGCCAGACCAGGGGCGCCGGCTTGTGACAGAGGCAATGAAGACGTTTAGCTGGCATGGAACCGCTGCTGCCTCGCACGACGACTACGAGTGCTTGAAAGACGAGCACCCAATTCTAGCCGATATCGCTTGCTTCCGGAGTTCCCACATCAACCACCTCACTCCTCGCACACTCTGTATCACGTCTGCCCAAGACCTAATGAAGGCAGAAGGGCTCATGGTGAAGGATAGAATCGAAGGCCCGCCCCCAAGATCGTGTCCGATTCTCCTGCGCCAGACGAGTTTCCTTGCCATTGAGGAACCAATCAAGTTTCTGGGCACTGGCGATTCGGCTTCAAGTTCGCTGGTACAAGGCTCGCACCGTGCTCGGTTCGGCGAAATCGAAGAGCGAGGAGCCGCCGTTACCCCGGCGGGTCGGCGATTGTACGACGAGCTCCTCGATGAGGCGATGGTAGCAGCGGCGAAATCTCCCCAAGATCCCGGCCCAGAAGAGTTTGACGCGCTGGTTGAATCGGTTTTCAAGAAGTATCCCGATGACTGGAGCGAGTTGAGAAGACGTGGTTTAATCTACTGCACCTTCGAAACAACCGACAAAGG